CCCCCAACAGATTCCAAAATAAGGCTCCTAAATGCTTTAAGAGCCCGTGTTATTTTTCCTCCTGCTTTGATGCAGTGCAAACCAGGTGTGCAGGGAAATTGCCCGCAGTCCATGTTCCCCTTTTTAAAATAATACAACGGTAGGCCACTGCAATTGTTGTTGAGAGGAAGCTGCTCATCGGTTTCAGCATGTTGGCCAGTAATGTGTCATCGTCTCCTAACTGAAGGATACTATTATATTGTCAACATCCCATGGAAACAAAGGATGTGAACATGTCGATACTCATTTAGCGGATTTTCGTTGGAAATGTGGGTTTGGCCCGGTGCTGGAGTAGACTTGAGTAAACCAGTTATATGCTTTTTTTTTTTTTTATTATTTATTTTTTTTAAATTTTTAATTTTTTTTACATTTTTTTTTTTAGCTTTGTAAATTAACTTTGTGCTGCACTGCACTCACTCCAAAAGCGGTAGTTATATTCTGCATTCATTTGTTACACAGTCCTCTGATTTTTATGTGACTTTGATGTTTCTGCTCTGTACTACACTGTCTTAGCTCTGTGATTATTTTTAGAATGAGGAAGTATGGGGGGGAGAGAGTCCTGCCATGGAACAGTAACCATCAGTCCCCAAGAGGAAGTTTAGCCAAACCCTGGAAGCAGGCCTGATTATGCTGCTCTTCCTGTTTGGAGTCGGTCTCCTGACTGACAATGTGACATTGCCCGCCCACAAGCATGGAGTCAGGCTGGAGCCACTTCCTTCATTTCTCATGGCAGACAAAAAGCAAAAAATGTTTTTCTACATTTCCCTCCCAACTAGAACACGCCACTTGTCGTTTGGCATTCTTATTTTTGCCATTAGGTGTGAGTTAACTGGTCCCTCCCATTTAAAAACAAACAAACTTGAAAGTCTTTTTTCCTCTTGTCTTGTCAGACTTTGTCCTTTTTTACCTCTTGTAATCTTAGCTCAGTATTTGCCTGCCATACCATGTATGCATACCATTTACATACATTTGCCAAAGTAGGAGGGCCCCTCATCCCGAAGCCGCAGTTAAGTAGGCATAGGAATGTTTCTTGCTGAATTTAGATGGCAGACCCTGTTTCTGTGGGCCACAGAGTGAGAGTGAGCGACTCAGCCCAACCATCTAGAAGTCAAAGGGTAGTTTATTCTACTGCGTACAGTGTTGTGCTCTCATGGCAACTAACTCTGTACCCGACACCGCCCGTTAAAAGTGTTCTCTCGGATCACCTTGTTCCCGCCTTTTGAGTAGACTTTGCAGTAACCCCCCACCACCGTGCATAATTAAAGGCCAAGATTCACAAGGTAGAGTAGAATTCTAGCAAACCTGCATGACTGGTTGTCGTTAAAGCGCTCCAGGACACTTCAACTCCGAGAGAGTCCTCGGGGCTCCATATGCGTGTGCGCTGCCGTGTAACAATGCCCCTAGTCTCAGCTGGAACAGGACATTCATTGTAGAGTGTTGTAGAGCTCAGGCTGCTGAGCCACTTCTTGTGACTGCTGTACTTCATCTCACACACACACAACCATGAGAACAGCCACGAAACAGCACTTTATATCTACTAGAGAGAGCAAGAGGGGACAGACGAGGCTGTCTCAGCAGACAGTAATCTAGTGTGGACTAGGAGTCTCCCCATCTTGTCTTCCAATCCAGAGGGCTTTTGGTGTGTTATCCTTCCTCCTAATACTGAATTATGAGAAGATAGGTTGCACCGACTGACAGCTGCTGTCAAGCTAAGATTTTGCTGCTGACTTCTATGCTTCATGTTGAATAGTAGCCTTTTCTCCATGAGTGTGATTGGCGTTTATAAATTGATAATTTGGCACATTACCCCACAGTCAGAAATAATGGCTCCTTTTGACTGTGGCTACGGTCTGGAACTAGAAATTACTGTTGGGGAACAATATTAAAAATGGTACGGGAAGACATGGTTATGATGAGGAGTCAAATATCCTTGCTGACAAGCTGGGTCATTTGATCCTTTCCAGTGGGGAAGGTGGGGTTCTTCTCCAGCGAGCTTGCTCAATCCTCTTTTGGTTATCAGATTACTTCCTGCTGTATCACACAATGGCTCGGTAATATGAGCGCCGTGCTCTCCACCTGCTACGCTGTGCCCTCGTTAGTGAATGCACTGAAGTGAACCATTGTTGTCTCTCTTTCTCTCTTTGCAGAGGGGATCCGACGAACTCTTTTCTTCCTGCATAGCCAACGGGCCCTATATCATGAGCTCAGGTAAGTGTGTGTGGGGGGGGGGGGGGGGTTGCCATGGAGGGTTGAATCCTTTTTTTTTTGTTTTTTTGTTTTTTTTGTTTTATTGAAGTGCTTTGGCGTTTGTTGGTTTGCGTTGCCATGACGATCAATCCATTATTCAAGAAGAACCAGAGCCCTCTGTTCCCTCCCTGATTGTATCTGCGTCTGTTTTTCTTTTCTTTGCAGCCAATGGCAACGACAGCAAAAAATTCAAAGGTGACGTGCGCAGTCCTGGTGTTCCGTCACGTGTGGTCCACGTACGCAAGCTGCCCAACGACATAAATGAGGCTGAAGTTATCGGCCTGGGACTGCCCTTTGGGAAGGTCACTAATTTGCTGATGCTGAAGGGGAAAAACCAGGTAAGGACCGATGTATATGCAGGTGTTCTCGCCAAACCCGTGTGACTCGCCCTCCTGGGTGAAACCTCTCTTTAGGGGCTGGGACCAGAGAGCTTTCTAGCCCTCTGTCCTGATGTGAAAACTTTGACTGACCCTTTTGTCAAATCCTTGTTGTTATCTCCCGTTTTCTATTACCTGCTGTTATGTTTCAAAACCAATAAAGATGTCAAATGAGATTTGGCTAAACGTAGATGGAGATGGGTAGTAGAAAATGGTCATAGGACACCTGATTATTTACGCTTACGCTTAATAAACATTGCCTTAGTGTGGTACCGTGTCAAATGAAATGCATTTCTCTGGTCCTCCGCTGCAGGCATTCTTAGAAATGACCAGCGAGGAGTGTGCACAGACGATGGTGAGCTACTACTCCTCTGTAACCCCCGTCATCAGAAACCACCCCATCTACATGCAATACTCGACTCATAAGGAGCTGAAGACCGACAACTCCCCCAACCAAGTGGTAAGTGACACACTTTAGGCTCAAAATACCGTTGTAGTCATGGCTAGATACTAAGTTATGGTGTTGTCTAAATATGGCAATTGCCGTGAACAAAACCGTATCACCTACAATCACTCGTTCATTTATTACTGCATACTTTTCTTCATCCATGCTAAGAAGTTCCTATTTTTCTTCAGCGTGCTCAGGCAGCTCTGCAGGCAGTCAATGCTCTGCATGGCGGTGGGATGGGGGGCATGGCCATTCCAGCAGATGTGGCTAGCATGGGAGGAGGAGGAGGAGGAGGAGGAGGATTAGGCTCCCAGAGCCCTGTACTCAGAGTCATTGTGGAAAACCTCTTCTACCCCGTCACCCTGGATGTACTTCACCAGGTACACACCCTTTTTGTTATTTGTTTGAACTACAGTTATCTAGTTGTTTCGCACATATTATAGGCTTACCAGTCCCTTTTTAGTCTTAAAGGGCGAGTGTGTAGGATTTGGCGACATCTAGTAGTGAGGATGCGGATTGCAGCCAAGCGTGTGGCAGTGCTACAAATCAACAAAAGATGTGTTGATGTGTGGCAGTGCTACAAATCAACAAAAGATGTGTTGATTTCACCCCTAATCGTTCTGTCTCCACCTCCAGATTTTCTCTAAGTTCGGCACTGTGCTGAAGATCATCACATTCACCAAGAACAACCAATTCCAGGCTCTGATCCAGTATGCCGATGGCATGACGGCTCAGCACGCCAAACTGGTAAGACTGGTACATCTAATAATCTTTGTCATGTTTCAGTCTGACGTTGTTGCCACCCCTTTTGCAGTTGGATTGAGATTCAGTTCCGTGTAAACATCGTGGGAGCGACTAATGAAACTGTATTTAAAACGCATCACACAGTTATCTTAAGTCTAAATCTCCCAATATCTGTCTCAGTCTCTGGATGGACAGAACATCTACAATGCCTGCTGTACCCTGAGAATCAGCTTCTCCAAGCTCACCAGCCTCAATGTCAAGTACAACAACGACAAGAGCCGGGATTACACCCGTCCAGATCTCCCCACTGCAGACTCACAGGCCTCGCTGGACCACCAGACCATGGCAGCTGCTGCATTTGGTAAGATTGGGGCATGATTTGAAGAACATGGTACGCGTGGGGTCTTAATAAAAGCATTGCATTTTATATTGTCAAAATAAGGCTTTGAAAGTAAGTTCTAACTTACCTTTTGTAGTATTAGATGAATACCGTAACATCATAAATAACTATCAAATGTATAAAATCTTTTATGCGTCACATTCATACAGTTTACTTTTGTTTGGTGTGACTTAGATGTTATAAGACGATGCGCGTATTGTTAACGTCGGGTTATTGCTTTACGCTCTTGACCATGGAGTGTGCATGAGCGTCAGTTGTCAGGGAAGAAAAGAAAATGCCTCGCACCTTGCTACTAACAAGCTAACGTTGGAGGCGACGAACAAGTGTAATTTTAACAACGAACCTGGATGAACAGATCGGGGCCAAGGAAGCGGAGAATTTTAAGTGGTATTTAAAAAAAGGTCTTAAATTAAACTTGAAGAACCCTGGGGGCACCTGGGGGAAGAAGTCTTTGTTCTTATTTTTGTTCCATTTCTTTTGCTTCTTGTCCCAGCTGCACCGGGCCTGATCTCAGCCTCTCCTTATGGTGCAGCTCATGGCTTCCCTCAAGCCTTCGCCATCCAGCAGTCAGGTCCGTACACAAACTTTATTTTACCACGCTACCCTGTATCTCTTATCCAAATATTTGCCCGCTACATGTGGTGTGTAATTGGCCTTGACGTGAACATGCTGAATATATTCCCCAGTATTTTCTCCTTTTTTTACAAGATCTCTTCAGTGTGTAGAAAGCAGCAAGTAATGGTGACATATCAATGAAATTAATATTTTGTTCCTCTTAGGGTTGTCAATGCCCGGTATGCCTGGTGCCCTGGCGTCCCTGGGCGTGAGCCACGGCGGCATGGCTGCTGCCGCGGCAGCCGCTAGCCGGCTCGGCCTGACCGGGTTCGGTGCCGCTGTGGGACACCATGTGTTGTTGGTCAGCAATCTGAACCCTGAGGTCAGTACACTCACTAGGCCTAAACAGCTGTACGCTCTGTCTCTGTCAGTACAGTGCTGAGAAACGTTAAAGTGTTACGGTGCCATTTGTTTACACTACGGTTCACCTGGATCCATTTGTATAAGCGCTGCATTGGTTGCGCCCCCTCCTCCCCCCCTCTCATTCCCCACCACCTCCATGTGACCAGAGTTGGAGTACCCGTACCACAGTTTTTAATGAAAAGGGGTTTGGAGTCAAACCTCTTCTCTTTCAGGACCTCTCTGTGTTTGACCAAACCTGCTGCATTTCTGACCTGCCACTTTGCTCACTGTGAATTTTAAGTTTATTCAAAACACTAACTTCTTTTTTTTTTTTTTTTTTTTTTTTTTTTTAAACCTACCATTTCATATCTTCATTTTTGTCCATTAGTTGAAATCATTCTTGAGTTGTTGGAGAGACAATATTACTTTTTTCTTCGTATTTTGTAAAGAAACATGCCTGGATTTAGGTTATTTTCTTATATAGTGTGTAAACTGTATTGGTAGTCTGTCGCACTCATTACATTTACTGTAGTTATGTAGTCATCACGTTAAGCATGCTACTTTAAAGATCAGCTGGTAGTTGACATTCAGAGTTGACTGTTTCGATTATTTAGTTACATTAGAATAAAACAAACGTAGCCTGTAATTCAAAGTACATATTGTCTCTGCCTTTTTCTGTATTTCATTGTTAATCTTTTTTTTCTCTTCTTTTTCTCCTAGTGTTCCCATAGTGACAGTGCATTTTAATTTAGCCAGTTCTACTGTCTGAAGCACTACATTTCTTTGTGTATACTGACCTTGTTTTTTTACTTCCTTTTTTCTCTCTCTCCTTTCTCTGTCCCCCTCTCCCTCTTTGTTTTTTCCCCCCCCCCCCCCCCCCCCACCTCAACTCTTGCCAACTGACTGCACGCCCCACAACCAATTGTTCCCTCTGTCCTCCCCCCCCTCTGCCACTCCTCTATCACTACTACAACCACCCAATCCATCATGCCCCAATTTGGTCACCACCCACAAATTTAAACTCAACAAAAAAACACAACATTGGCACCTCCATTGGTCTCTCCCTGGTTTTTGTCATCATCTGGCCCTCCATTGTCCTCTGTCTTTCCTCTACATCCTCATCTCTTTTCTCATCTTCCTCCTCTCTCTCTCTCTCTCTCTCTCTCTCTCTCACTCTCATGCTCTTTGAATCCTCTCCTCCTCTCTTCATTCTCTTCGTCCCTCATGCCTCTCCTTCCTCCATGGTACTGTGGCCTTCCTGTGGACCTCGCTGCCTGTGGCCTGCGGACATGTCCCGACTCCACTCCACTGTCCTCCGCTCCGTCTCTTTTCCCCTGTTCCCTATCCCCCTTTGGCCCCGCTACTCCCCCTGCTGTCTCTAAAGAGCGTTACGCCACACTGCCTCTTTATTCTTTTCGGTACGTTATCATCCTTTCATCTCCTTTTTTTATTACTACTGTTACCTGGCAAGGTGGGCATGTCTTGTCTCATGTTGTTGGCTTTGTGTTTTTTGACCCCTGATGGCTCGTCATCTAGCTACAGGGCTATGAAGGGTGGGGGTGTCTTGTTTGTTTTTGGGGGTTTGTATGACCTGTTTTTGGTTGTTGTGGGTTTGTGTGAGGAAAGTAAGGTGAGAACACCGCACAAAGCTGCAGCATTTTATTTTTAACAGCAGATGGTTTACTGTCCAGGGGCAACAAACGTTGTTTTCATCTTCAAAGAGTACAGCCCCGTAATGGAAACGTTGCCGAACTCAATAGAACTGTAGGCATCATTTTGTTTGGGAATGGGGCAGGAAGCCAATCTAAATTCTAAAGTATTACCCTCAGGAAGAGAATGAAAAGTCAACACTTTATTTGGTTCTGCACGGTCCAATCTTAACCCATGAAATTTCAGCCAATACCATTTTTGCTAAGTAGATTTCTCTACGGTTGCCTTGAGTCACTCAGCAATAGTATATACAAAGATGAAATGCTGCTGCTTTTTAGTAATTGTGAGCTGACATATCCCTCAGATTATGTCGCCATATTATTCCTCTGCAGTTACTCTCCTGTAGGTATGTGCATGTTTAGTTTATTCTTGCATGTGTCTCTATTAAGCCCTCGAGTTGCTCAAGTAATCAACGTTTTCTTGAATGTATAGCGATCAAATCGACCAAACCACTCATTTTACTACTCTTTGATTTCCCCTTCGAATCACTACCTCTCCCTTCTCGAGCATCTGTCTAATTGTAACCTAAGAGGGCTTACGTAGGACTAGTTCTAGAGGTCCCATGCATAATTGAACAGAAAATGAGTAGAATGACTTATTAATCGGTGGTCATTTTGTGCAGCATAGATATCTCTGTCCCTGATGTGATGGCTTAACTAGTTGTTGTTGCTGTGATGTAGCTCCTGTTAAGGCTGTGTTCTTTGTTGCACCTGTATCGTGACCCCTTCCTCTTCCTCCCCAGGTGTGTACGGCGACGTGATGAGAGTGAAGATCCTGTTTAATAAAAAGGAGAACGCTCTGATCCAGATGTCTGATAGCACTCAGGCTCAGCTAGGTAGCTACAGTTTTCTTTTAGATGTGTCATTTTTCTTTCATCTTGTGTATCTTCCTCCTCTTAATCCTACCATACGTTGTAGAGCCCTTTGAGCACACGGGACAGGTTTTCTTTTCTCATAGTTGACTCGTTTCATTTGTTTTACCATTCATGAGGACGCCACAAGTTTCTAGAAAGTTCATCCAGAAATGTGACGCTCAATCGAGGAGGGTACGGATGGAAATTAATTAATCCTGTTGATGTTTCTCAGCTATGAGCCACCTGAACGGTCAGCGTCTTCATGGCCGGGCCATGCGCGTGACGTCATCCAAACACACCACAGTGCAGCTGCCCAGAGAAGGCCACGAGGACCAGGGTCTCACAAAGGACTACGGCAACTCCCCGCTGCACCGCTTCAAGAAGCCCGGCTCCAAAAATTACTCCAACATCTTCCCACCCTCGGCAACACTCCACCTCTCCAACATACCGTGAGTTCAGCCGCGAGAGCCTCGTTTTCATTCCCACTCTCTCCCCGAGCAGCTTTTGGGCTGTAAGCTTTTTCCTTTGTAGTCATGACTCATTCTTTTCTATATTTAGTGCTTGGGATTAAGTAGTTGTGACAGAACTTTGTAAACATGCTACTCTAGAGGTGCATTTTTTTCGAACTAATCAAGCCTCTTGTTTCACAATACCAGTAAATAAACAGGAAAATGCTAATAAGTAAAGGGAACATAAAAGCTTTATGTAAATTCTCTGTTTTTCTCTCTGCTTTCAGGCCTTCTGTGGTGGAGGACGACCTCCAGAGGCTTTTTGCCAGCTCAGGAGCTACAGTCAAGGCCTTCAAGTTCTTTCAGTACGTTTCATTTTCTTAAATTGTTAGGTCCTTATGTGTGTTTGACTTTCTTCTATTTGTCGTTTGGAGTCTGAATAACATGTCTTGTAGACCACAGAGACAAATCAATCATAACGTAGCAAATGGCAGAAGTTGTTGACCCTTTTAAGAACACATTGTTCCCTCTTTTTATTTAACAGGAAAGACCGCAAGATGGCCCTGATCCAGATGGGCTCAGTCGAGGAGGCAATTGAGTGCCTCATTGAGTTCCACAACCATGATCTTGGAGAGAACCACCACCTCAGAGTGTCCTTCTCAAAGTCCACCATCTGAGTGCCGTTCCTCCCTCCCTCCAAGTGTAGCGCCATCTGAATGCTCTTGTCACGGTTGCCTTCAGTGGAGATGGCCACCGTTACATCTTGATGGCTGTGGTTCTTTGTAGACTGTTGCTCCCGTCACCATTCTTAATCATTCCCCTCGTTAATAGGTTTTGGTATCACATTTAATCTATTGTGCTTCCGATTCCTGGTTCCAATTTTTGTCATACGTTACCAAAATATGTTAACAATCAAACCATATTTTCTTTTTGATTTACGATGTCGAAAAACTGTTAATTCACCATTAAAATACATGGTATTTTACATTAACACGTAAACAAATGTGAATATTTTCTCATGCCACACACAGATTGGTTGTTGGCGGTTTTACACTAGTCTGTATTTGAGTTGGTCCTGCTGACATCAGCGGACTCTGGGCATTGTGATTTGGACCGAGGACCTCTAAAAACATGCGTTCTTGTGGCGTGCCGCAAGTTGGACAGACTTCTCCACGGGAGGAAGCCGTGCCGCTTGTGATTACAGTTCCCTGTATCACTGCTCTCTTTTGTTCCGCTTGTAAGCGGTAGGTCCCGCCCGTAATGATGTAAACACTATTCACATGCAGTGTGACAGACGATGTAAACGAGTGGGTCACAATTTGGCTCAGGAACCGGTAAATAGAATCGAAGCACATTTCTGTTTCCAGGTCAGGACCGGTTCTTTGTACCCAAACCATCAAATTCAATCTGTTCCATCATTTAGTTCTTAAGTGGGGGTCCTGTGAGGGGGGCAACATTCTGCAATGAAACGTGTTATACTGGAGGTGAAGTAGAGGCAGCCCATGAACTGTCACTTTAGACCAAATCGCTTAAAAAAAAAAAAAAAAAGTTGAAAAAAAACCTTCCACCACAGATGCTCATGTGGATGAATCGTATCCACACAAGACACACTTCAGCATTCCTTTTATTGTGATAGTCATGTGGATATATCTGTGTGTGTGTGTGTGTGTGTGCGTGTCTTTTTGAAATGCCACTTTGACCCTGTTTGGCCAGTCAGAAACGGTTCGATACGAAAGGATTTTGTTTTGGCCCACAGACCACCAAACAATTAATATCCCAGTATCTCTTTTGATTTTATCTTCTTGTAACTACCCGCTTAATTGCTTCGGGCGATCCATACCACTATCTGGAGTCATTCGATAAGGATGCATTTTTCTTACATCTGTATCTACAGTCTTGTGCCTTCCTTTACCCCAAACCAGATTGCCTTAAGCATCGCTCTGGCTTTATTTGGAGAAGACGTGGCTCTCAAAATGCCTTTTTCATGCCTTGTGGTATGTACCAGCATTGTTAAAATATGGGGATGGGGGGGTGAAAGTGGCTCATTCAAACTTCAGTTTCATCTTAAAACACAATTGTTTTTTTCCTAAAGATTTGTATGCATATCCCCATTATATGTCTGTAGAAGCTATGAATGTATGTCAGTTAGGTGCCTAATATCCTCGCTAGGTGATGTAGCTCTGTTAGGTGTTGTTTTGTGGCAGGAGGCCGAGCTGTAGCCGGCCTTCCTGTCTTCCAGTCCCCATCCACCTCCACGTAGTCCTTCCTCAGGCAGGGCCGTGGTGTTTGGGGCGTCATTTAACCATATTATGTTCATCTATACGTGGACGCCTATATATTCATTTATCTTTTCTTTTAATGTTAGTATTTTCATGTGTATCACTGCTACGCTTCTCTGATACCTATACGTAGTGGCTGGGTTTGATCATTATCGCAGTGCCTTGAGTTTTTAATCTGAGGCCGAAGCATTTTGCGGCCCGGTCGGTTGACTTTGTTTACCTCTCGTTCAGGTGTTTTTATCTTTCCGGTCTCTGAAGATGCCTTTATCCCATTACTTGCAGGTAAACCTACCTGTGAGAGAGCAGCTTGGAGTCATTTGTCAACTGAAAGTAACAACAGTCTTGGATTGTGTTTAAAACGAATCCTAAACCCAGTATATATATATATATATATTTTTTTTTTTTTCTTAAATTCAGAATAACAGGATTACATGGTGGGTTAGCCCTCACCCGCTCCGGTCTGTCTCCACCTCTACGCCACAGCCCGGTTCTTTAGTGCACTTTTCCTCAACGATCGGTCCAAGTTGGCGCCATCACGCTGAAGTCTTAAAACGTCGTCTCATTCCTGCGTGCCTCGAGCACCGGTCTCCACAGCCTCGACCACTGTAGTTTTGGACCAGATGCAGATTCACTTCTGTCTCTATTTTTGTAAAAGATTATTATGCATGGTTTAACGAAGCTTCATGTAGCTACAGGTGGTAATTGCTGTTAAGGACCAAAGTATCTTCTACCCCTGCTGTTATGTAGTGTTGTGATTTCTAAAAAAAAAATTTTTTTCCCTCACATTTCCACAAGTACACAAGGCTTCAGTTTCCTTTTCTGTCTGTTTCTCAGATGCCTTGGACAATTGTCACATGAAGTTAAAGTATGTTTGGGTAATCAGTCTATACTGTATATTGTGTCCCTTTTTTTTTTTTTTTTTTTTTGGATTGACATTACAAAGGGTCTACTTTGGTAGTTTGCTTTAGTACGGATGCTTAATTGAACCACAGTCCTAGCTGTGCTGTTGATGGTGTAGAAGATTATATGCCTTTCTTTTTTCTTTTTTTTGTTAAAGCTTTTATGTTCCTCCTCTTTTATATGGGCGCGGGTGGGGTTATTGTATGAAGCGGGATTGATGGTTGTATATATTCATGTTTTTGTACCACAATCATTTGGATTATATCCACTTTACGTTCAAAACATGTATATTTTGATAAAACAATACAGACCTATTAAGCTCTGCCGAGCTGTAATAACAAAAAAAAACTTTTGTAACAAAGACATTAAACCTATCTGAACACAGAAGTGTCTCTGTATGTGCCCCCCCCTTTGCCATTCTGTTCTTGTCTCTTGCATCTTCTGCTGCCTTCAATAAATCTTTAGTTTGTTCCTCCTTTCCGGCCTCATTTGGTTTCTGTCTCTTCCGCTCTGTCCTGTGGAGCTGCTGCTCTGTATCAGTTAACACTTTGTAACATTTCCCCCGTTTCCCATCCCGTTTACTACTGGTGGGTTGTTTTTAATCCTTTTACTATACTTCCAACTTTGTACTCATCCCATCTTGACTTGACTGCTAATCTGGGTTCAGCTCAATCCCTCGCAGACACTATTATGATGCTGACCGGGTAAGAGGGTTAATTTGGTGTGAAACACTGGATAATTGCTATTCTCGATTTATTCCTAATAATCCGCCGTCATCCTACGCTCCGCTGTGACCTTTACAGTTGAGCCGGTCCGTCTGACTCGTAGATGAGCCAGGTTGCTGTGGAAACTAAGTCGCTGTGTCTCCTAAAATGAATAATTAAGATTATAAACACAAACATAAGCTATCGGGCATATTTGACATCCTTTAGCACCAAGTTCCTCGGGGATGCGAGTGGAAAACCCTCAATGACAAACTAGTTGTTCACCCTCTGAGCCACTAGGGGGAGGTCTTGCTCTCTGCTGGTAATCCGAGGCCCTTGAGCAGAGGTGACTTTGCCTGCCACTCACACAATGTCAATAGTTAGTGGCTTAATCTCAAGTGCCTGCCTGAGCTTTCTGGCATTATACAGTCTTTATTTTTTTTTTCCTCCATCGACTTCCCTACAGAGTGGAAGAGAGGATTAACATCAGATCTTCTTGCCTTGTGAGAGGATGACAAATGAGAGGAGAATTGAGTCCACTGGTGTCTGTATCTGTGGCTGAGATAGCTGTAATCCCAGCGGTTTGTGCAGACTGGTCTTTAAATATAGTGTGTCCAACTTGGTGTGAAGGCACTTGTTTCTCTTCTCTCATTGCTTCGCATCAGAAAACATGCTTGAAGGTGGTAATATAATACAGTCTCATACTTGCAGAGTGTTACCAGCATGACAGAAATCTCAACAGCAGGTTACAGAATGCAAAAAGAAGCTTCTTGAGCAGATCATGTATTTGAATGTTGTTCAGGTACTTTTTGTTTTTTTAAATCTTCAGTGTATCCCGACTAGTCGGGGAACTCTATGGCAGCAACTTTACTCTTTGATGCTGCTTTGATGCCTCAGACCCTTGCTTACTTGCAGCATCTTAGTATTTCACTCTGCACCAAGAGTAATTTAGAGCAGTGTGCACAGAATCCTCTTTGGAATATACTGAAATGCAAAGAGATTGTATAATTGGGTGGAAGGGTAACTCAAAAGTAGGATGATCCAAACATGGATTTGTGATGTTTTGGGGGATTATCAAATACCAGAAGTCACTGGCACACAAAATATGGTATACTTAATACATTTATCTGTTGACACATTTTAGAAGCTGAAACTGGCAGACACTGTATGTACAGCAAGGGCACACGTTTATTTTCCAAAGAAAGAGGCCGTACTGTATGAGCTCTGTTGCAACATTTGCACGTTTAACTAGTCCAGCGTGTCGTCCGTGTTACCGTACCCCACCACCTCTCCAGTTGTTTTGCCGGATCCAGACCCTTGGGACGATCCCGGCTTCATCCAGCGCTGTGTGCAAGGGACTAAACGAAACCATGTGGGGCAAGGGATCCTTCCACATCTGGCAACATTTATTTACATTAGTACCGCGGCCTCTAATCAAGCAAATACTGGCAAACGCCAAGGCCACACACAAATGCGAGGCCGGTGGGGACTGAATGGGGGCCTAAGTGGTTCAAGAGGCCGTCCTGTATATCATTTGTGACGCGTTCAATCCCCACAAAAGCCAGTTAGTCACCGAGGGGAGGGAGGGGAGAAATGTGGATGTGTGAGACTTGAAAGTCGGCTGAATGTGAATGGCTGCTGTGTTAGTGAACATCTTGAAAATATATATTCATCTTTTTTTATGTTTTAAGATCTGGAGCTGGGTGATAATTCATGTGTCTCTCTTGAGTTAAACTGCAGAGCAATCACAGACTTAACCGGCTATAAATTCAAGGATTTAACACCCTTTTAAGGAGTCATGTCTCCGTACACTGACTCTGTGACCCACATTCCTTTCAGATTTAGGATCACTTCATATCTAGAGGCCTTCATATCTCGATACACCCAATGTAGCCGCACGGTTTACGAGAGATTTATACTCACTTTCAGGGTGACAGCAGGGGAGGGAAAAGGCCTGAAGCCTAGGTGAAGGATGTCTTTTGGTCTATAGTGGCTCTACTTAAAAAACAAAAAAAAAGCCACGAGGAGACGATCCACCTGTTTATATATGCACGCCTCAGACAGATGTTGAATTATTCATCCACAGAGGCGGACAACACGCAGCTGTATTTGGGTTATGGGGGTGCAGGGGTTCTCTCTCCCTGCCTGAATTCACGCCGCCCAAATTATAGGCATTACTTTGCAGGCAGGAAGAAAAAGGCAAAAGTAGGACACTTTGCATAAAGGATCCAACCGAGAGGCACAAGAAGATGTGAAGGCTGGAGCTGCAGAAAAGGTTCAGTTTCAAATCATTATACGGGCCTGTTAGGATTTTTGAAGGGTGAGACAAGGCGGTGGAGAGAGTTTGTACACTGCAGAACACTCTTCTCTCAGTTCATTCTGCTAAGGTGGTGATGCTTTTTCTTTTTAAAGAATGCAGATGAACTTGCTGCGAATCAATTCCCATCTTGCTGAGAGTGGATTGATCCTCACTGGAGCTCATTCTGACAGAGTTATCGACACGCTAGGAAAAAAAGAATGATGGAGCGCTTTGTGGAAACAATATAGTTACTGCATCTCCCTCCATCGGTGCTGAGACCAAATGCCTAAGATGGATATGATTTAGGAGTCTGCACGCGCCCGTACGCGCGCGCGCGCGCAGGACAGAGGCAGCAGGGGTGGCGGCGCTCCGTCAGACATGGGCTATCTGGAGGTTTATGGCTCACAGGTTTTAGACTCGGCGCTGCCGTCGCTTGCCCTTTGTGCCTAATGGACACTGATGGAAAATGACTCCACTGTTCCAGCGATCCATCAGACGCCCTCTTCCTCCCTCTTCCTCCCTCTCCCTGAGCCCATCCATCAGGCCGCGGCTTTCAAACACCACAGTGAACTTTATGGGCGCTTTACGTGTCCAGCTGCGATGTAAATATACCGCCTTTAGTCAACACAGATGGCTGTGAGGGTGATTAATAAGCTTAACAAGTAAACGACCACAAACAAAACTATGATTTTCAGTTATTCTCCGGTAAGCTGTAATATTTCATCCTAATTTATGTTTTCGCACCGTAATTTATAATTCATGTCATAGCAAACTAAAAGGGTCAGTTTTCCTCAAACAATAAGTTTCATTGCGTTGAGGATTTCAAACGTCCCCGGTTGTGTATGCTATCACTGGGACGCAGTGAGTCAGCCAACCCTGAGTCCCCGGAGGTGTTGGAAGAAAATCATCATATAATTTAGGATTGAGCTGAACACATTTGGATTCACAAGTAAACAGTTTAAATAACTTATGTTGAACACACTGGGTTTCATAAGAACATTCTTAGGAAGAGATTAAAGCACCAGACAAATTGTAATCGATCACCCCTATTTGTATCCAAACATTTCCCGTAAACGGATCGTGTGTTCTGCCAAAAGGTTATCCTGACTCAAACGAAGTCAGGAGAGCATGACCTAGTGAAGAAATCAGAGGTGCTCTGTTTGTGGTTCAACCCACTTGATTGTTTGGTGGAAAGTGATGTAAGGGGGGTAAAGTTTGACTATAAAAGTAATCTGTGAAATGTAATACGGGGGATTTTATTGGAATTGTATTAGGATTTGTTGAACTTGTAATATGTTGGCTCGTTTGCATTAAAAGACTCCCCGCTTGTTGCGACTTCAACTCGGCGTCTTTTGCCACAACAGAGGGTGCGCGGCACGGCACGGCACGGCTACAGACCCCGCCCGCGCGGAGAGAGAGAAAAAAAAAAAAGCGAGCGCGAGATGGAGAGAGGAGGGGTGGAGGTTACTCACACCGAATCAGGGTGCCGGTGAGTGTTGTTGCCGCCATAGGTGGAGGTTGCGTGGGAGCGCGTATACGGATTGAAGCTGCAATCATTAACGGCCTCCCTGGCTGCGCCGGTCAGCGTGACGCACAGAGAGCTGAGGCGCACCGCAGACTGGAGTCGCATTGGATTAGAGCCAGTGACAGCGGAGGGATCACCAATTTGAGATGCTGTAAGAGCTCGCGGTGTGCGCGGGGAGGATGCTCCCGTTTCGTTGTTCTTGTGTGATAACTTTGGACTGAAAACAACGGAAATGAGCATCGTGGATGTATTTGTTTGAACTGCAATAAGAGGGGAAAAAGGTCAAGCGGACGCAGTTTGAGGCGGCGGAGAGATTTGCGGTGTGAGAGGAGCGGAACAAAGCGTGCGCAAGGCTGGATCCCCAACACAAATCCGGGTAAACAAATATGACGGACAATTTTGACGTTGTCTCGTTGTGGTGAGCACCGATTTCGCTGACATAACTACAAACCTCGGGTGAATTCTGGAGTGTAATTATAACAGATTTTTATTTTTTTTTTATTTTTTTGGAGAAAGAGAGGGGTCTAATCCAGGTGGTGCATCTATCTCTCCGGCTGCGCGTAATGGGAGAAAAGTTTCGGACCTTGCAGAGGAGAGACGCACTCGCAGCATCCCGCCAAACGACGCGCTTGTAAATAACATGTGAATCCCGCTCTTCCTTCCGCGGCAGACCAAGTTTGAAAGTGAATTCCATCCATTCAGTATGACTTGAAACAGCCTTGGGGTTACCGGATCTCGCACCAAGCCAATTAACGACCCATGAGCCGCCGAACCGATTTGTCCGAAAAACGCGGAGACGGACATTAATGATCTAAAGAAGGATTTCTGCAGCAGCGGCGCAGTGAAAGCCCGATCCCAGTGAGAGAGAGAGAGAGAGAGAGAGAGAGAGAGAGAGAGAGAGAGAGAG